TTTCCTGGAGCTCACTTGGTAGCCCAGGCTGGCCTCGAACTCACAGAGATCCACCTGCCTCTGCCTCCCGAGTGCTGGGATTAAAGGCATGCGCCGCCACTGCCTGGCTGTTTTTACTTTTTATATGTATTAGGGATTTTGCTGTTTTAAGACAAGGTTTTACTGTGTATCCTTGGGTGTCCTGGAAGTCACAGAGACCTGTCTGCTTCTGCCTTTTAAGTGCTGGGATTAAAGGTATGCAGCACCATGCCCAGGGGTAAGCTGTTCTGACAATGATTTCTTTTCTCCCAGGGTGAAGAGAAGTTCACCTTCATTGAGAAATGTAACAATCCTCGTTCTGTCACATTACTGATTAAAGGACCAAATAAACACACACTGACTCAAATCAAGGATGCAATAAGAGATGGCCTGAGGGCTGTCAAAAATGCCATCGATGATGGTAAGAACCACACTGGCTTTGAGTTGTGTTCGTGGTGCTAGTCTAAAAGGCATGGCTGAATACTGTGTTCTTTAGTCAGTAATTTACACAGCCAGACACCATGCAAAAGTAAAGTCTTCCTTTGCAATGATCGGTATGCTGTGTTTTATGGTATATCATCTTGAAAAGTGAGTACAAAGAAGTGATTCAAACTGGTGGCTCTTGAGCTACCACTTACAAGTTATGGTTAGGTCGGACATTTTCCTGTAGGTGTGTTTGCTCATGTTGTGGCTCCAGAGGCTGGGCTGGGCTGGGGTGCTGCCTGTTGGTACTGCACCTACCTAGCTATTTGAGACCCACATTTCCATCTCTAGCACTACAAAAGCAGATAAATTGCATATAACTAGTCAGTCACAGCGTGAATTTGTAAGAAGTTAGATGCTTCCTATGCATGTTTCCCTTTTGGTACGTTCTACACCTTTATTTTGTGTTTCCTGTTTTTTTTTTTTTTTTTTTTTGGTTTTTCGAGACAGGGTTTCTTTGTGTAGCTTTGCGCCTTTCCTGGGACTCACTTGGTAGCCCAGGCTGGCCTCGAACTCACAGAGATCCGCCTGGCTCTGCCTCCCGAGTGCTGGGATTAAAGGCGTGCGCCACCACCGCCCGGCGTGTTTCCTGTTTTTGTCTCTCTAACTTAGCATTTCTCCTTCCCTTGTCCACCAGGCTGTGTTGTCCCGGGCGCAGGGGCAGTAGAAGTGGCGATGGCAGAGGCTCTGATTAAATACAAGCCCAGCGTGAAGGGCAGGGCGCAGCTTGGAGTCCAGGCATTTGCAGACGCCTTACTCATTATCCCCAAGGTTTGGAGGTTTACTGACATCTTCGTTTTCTTTGCTGACGCCTTTGGGCTACAGTCTATTGTAAATGTTAGTTTCCTAAACTGTGCCAGGCTAGGTGGAGTGACTCCTGCCTTTAATCCTAGCACTTGTGAGGCCAAGGCAGGCAGATCTTGGCCAACTGATTTACATGCCATTTCAGGCAAGCCAGCCCTGTTTGTAGCAAGATAGTCTTCCTCACCTCTGGGTGGGGAGAGTTTAGAAGAACGCCACCTACCACATCCTGGGATAGGCAAGCTATGAATCTCTGCAGCTTCACAGAGGAGAATGGAGAACAGAAAGGGGAGGCCAGCATGGAGGTCGTCACAAAGGGAGGACTAGTGGCCACCTAGCGGGGAGGGAGGCTGAGTGGACAGGTGCCAGCTGCGTGGCACCAGCCCAGTGAGCCATTGCCTGTTTGGGTTGTTCAAGGGTAAGCTTGCTTTTTTTGTTTGTTTGAGTAGAACTAATGGACATGTGAGTCCTGTTAGGTGCTCGGGAAGGTGAGGGTTTATGAGCAGTGCTTTGTTTAGATGGGTTTGGGGTCTATTAGAAGTCGGTCAGCAACACCTGCCTGATCTCTGGGAGAGAACATGAATAATGGTCTGTCTCATTCAGTGCATGCCAACCACCACCCCATTTACGTACTTGGTGGGGGGCAAGGAGGGGGTGTGCTATAGCACGTATATGGAGGTCAGAAGACTGCTTTCGGGGAATTTCTTTTTTATTAGAAATGCTGTTGGCTTATTGTAGGCTTAACATTCACTTATCCTTTGTTCACTAGGTTCTTGCCCAGAACTCTGGTTTTGACCTTCAGGAAACATTAGTTAAAGTTCAAGCTGAGCATTCGGAATCGGGCCAGCTTGTAGGTGTGGACTTGAACACAGGTGAGAATGGGCCTTATCTGTGGGGTGGAACTAGATGGAGCGAAGCTGGGGAAAGTGGCAGCGACTGAGGGTCTTGGTGTACTGCTCTGGTTTGGTACCAGTGCTGTCCTCGTGAGTTGATGTGACAGGTACTGGACTAACTAGATGGCAGATTCAGACATAGAGTGGGTACTGTAATTGGTGGAGTAAAGGTAGTGACATGGCTGTACCTGCTTGTAGCCCTGTAACACAGATGTACACATCTAAAGCAGACGGCCTGTTGTCCATACCGTCACTAACTTATAGAAGAGACTGAGACTGAGGAGAGTCCAAAGGCCATTCATGTAATGTGGGTCAGCAGGAATGTGCCCAGAACAGGGGTGTCCAAACCTTTGCTAAGCAATGAATACTTTATGGCTAAATCACTGCTAAAAAGAGATCAGCCACACATCAAAGCCAGTTTGAGGAGGAGCAGTGATTGGAGGACTCAATGGTTACTAGTGGATGAGTAGTCAGTGATAAGCAGTACCTTTGGTTTATATTTGAAAGATCCTGACATTAACATGGTGCCGTCTGTAACCCTGGAACTGAGGTAGTGGGAACGAAGCCTGGAAGTGGTCTTTGGCTGCATAGCAAAATCTTGTGTAAAAAAAAAATGTCTAAATTGTTCCTAGTTTTGAATTGGCAGGGTTTGTTGATAAAATAGACTGGTTTCTTGAAAAATACATTTGATGGAGGCTGGAGAGAGCTGGCTCAGTGGTTAAGTGCACTGACTCCTCTACCAGAGGACCCAGGTTCAATTCCCAGCACCCACATGGCAGCTCACAACTGCCTGTAACTCTTAATTCCAGGGGATCTGACACTCCCGAAGAGATACACATGAAAGCAAAACACCAATGCATATAAAATAAAAATCATTTTTTAAAAATTTAACAAGCAAAGGGCGTCTGATACTACATGATTTCAAGGTGTGGTCCTTTGCAGGTGAGCCGATGGTGGCAGCGGAGATGGGTGTGTGGGATAACTACTGTGTGAAGAAGCAGCTGCTGCACTCCTGGTGAGTCTGAAACGGGAGCTGGCCCTTGCGTCATTGTTGAGTTGGACAGGTTGAACGTGTCTGAGCTGTCTTTTTTTCCCTTTCAGTACTGTCATTGCCACCAACATTCTCCTGGTTGATGAGATCATGAGAGCTGGAATGTCTTCTCTGAAAGGTTGAAGGAGTCTGCCTTGTAACTGAATCTGTAATACTACAGAATGATGTGGGGAAAATGGTCGGTTTTGTCCAAAATTCTATTGATTTGGAAAGGAATTTTCTTTCCCCTTTGAAGAAAATGAACAGGACATTTGGCACCTACTCAAGTTACAATACTGTAAAAAAAAAATTTTTTTTGCATTGAGTGTATGCATACGCTCATAAAGTGGACCCTTTTTAACCCACTGAACAAGATGTTTTTGAGACAATGACACAAAATTACATATTAAGATAAATGTGTTGTCTACCTTGTTCCTTAAATGTTCTTTGAAAAATTGTAATGGTTTTCTTCTAAACAAGGCATGGTGGTACATGCCTGTAAGCCTAGCACTTTGGAGGAAGTTCTGCTCCAACTAAGGCTACAGGAGACCCCCAGCTCAGAAGAATCATTTTCTTTTCCTTATTGGATGTATTTTAAATTAGCCAACTAACCCCGTTAAACGTGTAAGATTCTTGCCAGTGTGAAACACATCTGTGTAATTTATGGTTTTCATAGTATCTAATAAATACTTAAAGGTACTGGATCGTTCACGCTTGAAATAACTGTTAAACATGCTTCCCTGAGAAAAGCTAATTGGAGGTTTTCACTTGGAGGCTGGGGCAGGAGGATCACAGTTCTGAAGCCTCCCACCAGCATGAGAACACAGGCAGAAACAGTCCCAAGTATAACAGCCAAAAGATGGCTGAAGAATAAGGATTTGGGTGAAATATGTCACTTTTAGGCTATTTCCAAACCTTTAAACTTGACGCTTTTGCTTCATGCCTGTCTCGAGCATTGTCATATTTTCTCACTGAAATACTCTTGGTTTACATGTTTTGTTTTGTTTGTTCGTTTTGGTTTTTCGAGACAAGGCTTCTCTGTGTAGTTTTGGTGCCTGTCTTGGATCTCACTCTGTAGCCAAGGTTGGCCCTGCCTCCCCAGTGCTGGGATTAAAGGCGTGTGCCACCACTGCCCAGCCATGTATTTCCTATGTGTTTGATATACATGCAATCTTCCCAAGTGGAGTGTTGGTGGGGGCGGGGGCTCTCAGTGTTCTACAGTGAGTGAAATAAAAGGTTGGAACCTGTGGTCGTGTTACAGGGTGTAACTGAATAAAGGGTGGCATCTGAATAGATAGCTGTTTACAAGTGCTTACTTAACTTCCTGCAGAGACATCAGTTCTCAGCAGCCACACTAGGCTGCTCCTAACCAGCCGCAGCTTCACCACTGGGTACACACGCACTCCTTTACATCACATACACAAAAAAATTCAGAATTGATAAATCCAGTCCGAGTGTGAACAAGACTTTTGTCAGCCAGTTTCAGTTCATTCATGGGCGGTCCCTACACGCGGCTCCCGAGGAGCGCCACCTGGATCGCCCAACAGCCCTGCCATTGGTCAAAAAAAAAAAAGGGTGCTTCCATAAAGCAAGTGCGCAGGCGCCAGGAAGTCAACCAGCCCACCGGCTCGGAGCAGGCGCATGCGTGTAGAGACCTGGCTCTTCAGCATGGGTTCCTCGCTCGCTCTCTTGTCTCTGCTGTGGCTCCTGTCCAGTCCCGGGCTTCAGCTAGGTCAGTGTGCTGCTCTGTGCCTGTTTCCCCCATCCCTGAGCACCCGAAAAGGGACTGCACCCAGCCTTTCAGATGCTGCCCCCTGCTCGGAGGGTTTTTTGCGGGATCGCGGCTGCTTGCTGGGGCTGGCCACTGTGAAACTGCACTCGAGTTTTTAAAGCAGGGTCTCGGCTGGTACGCGGACCTGCCTGGGCCGCCGAGTGCCGAGTACAGCATGCTGGTTTTCCTGTTCTCCGTATCCCACTTCCCCATCTTCAGCTGGTGCACTCATGTGTGATACAAAGCTTTTATTTGTAGAAAGTCAGCTTTGAAAGCTCAAGATCATGAAGTCATACACAAAACTCCGATGTCACCCCTTACAACTAGGAGTACTCTGTGTAAATGCACCATTTTTTTCCTTTTTAAAGATTTATGTATTTGTTATATATATAGTGTTCTGCCTGCATGCCAGAAGAGGGCACCAGATCAAATTATAGATGGTTTTGAGCCACCATGTATGTAGTTGCTGAGAATTGAACTCAGGACATGTGGAAGAGCATTCAGAGCCCTTAACCTCTGAGCCATCTCTCCAGCCCTCCACCCTCCATATGTCTTTTTTTTTTTTTTTTTTTTTTTTTTGATTTTTGAGACAGGGTTTCTCTGTGTAGCTTTGCACCTTTCCTGGAACTCACTTGGTAGCCCAGGCTGGCCTGGAACTCACAGAGATCCGCCTGCCTCTGCCTCCCGAGTGCTGGGATTAAAGGAATCCGCCACCACCGCCCGGCTGATATTTTTAAAATTTTAGTTTTTCTATATTGTAATGTTGGATATTTAATTCCTCTTTAATTTGAGATTTCCCTACTTCCTCATTTCCCCTCTTGGAATAATGCTTGAAATGGATAGAATTGTGTCAGAATCAGAAGAGAGCTAAATACAGTACCCTGGAAGGTTGGGTGTGGTCACTCATCCCCAGCTCCTGAAAGACAAAAGTAAGCAGATCTCTGTGGGTTCCAAGCCAGCTTAGTCTACACAGTGAGTTTCAGGCCCGCGCAGGGTGAGACAGAAGTGGGGATGACCTTGTTGCCAAAAATTAAAATAAGAAAAAGGTCTAATTTAAAGTGACGGTTTGAGGTGTAACTCAGGTTGAACACCACCTAGCGTGTGTGAGACCCTGCTTTCAATCCCCTGTGGCTGGCTGGCGCGCACGCGCGCGCACACACACACACACACACACACACACACACACACACACACACAGTTCTTAAACTGTGACGTGGTAGCATATGCATGTAGTATTAGCATTTTCGAGGCTAAGGAGGGAGGGTCCCTTGAGTGAAGGAGCTGGAGAACAATTTTTTTTGTTTTTGTTTTTTTTTAAATCAGAAAAACCCCTAACATACACAGGCACACAAATTGTGGGGGCTGGTTCAGTTGCTTAGCATGAAACCTGGGTCCATTCCCAACATCTTATAAACTGGGCAAAGTGGTCCACACCTGTTACCCTAACACTCAGAAGTTGAGGCAGGGGAGTAAGGAGTTCAGCGTCATGCTCAGATACGTAGTTCTAGGCTAGCCTGGGTTACATGAGACCCTGTCTCAAAAAGAAAGAAGAAAACAAGTAAGTGTTCCACAGGACAAAGGGAGAGGTAAAGAAACAGCAAGAACAGAGTGTGAGTGAAGCCAGGCAGATCTCTGTGAGTTCAAGGCCAGCCTGGTCTACATAATGAGTTCCAGGACAGCCAGAGCTATGTAATGAGAGACCTTGTCTTCAAAGGAATTTTTTTTGGGGGGGTGGGGGTGGGGATTGAGTGGAGGGGGTGAGTGAAAATGTAAATATATTTGAAGTTACAGTTTTTAAATTTACCTAGCTGAGGCAAAAGAGTTATGTAAATAATAAAGTATGGTCTGGAGACGTGACTCAGCAGTTAAGAGCACTTGCTATTCTTGTAGAGGACTCAGGCTTGGTTGCCAGCACCCACATGGCACCTTGGAACTAATCAGTTCCAGAGGACCCAGTGCCCTCTTCTCCCCTCTATGGTACTAGGCACACACACAGCACACTTATAAACATTGCAGATAAACACTCATAAAAATAAAAATATTTTTAAAAGGCTGGGTGTGGCCGGGCGGTGGTGGCGCACACCTTTAATCCCAGCACT